TATATATATATATAGTGTATATATAGTGTCTGCAGCTGTGCCCCTGTGATGGAAAGACGCAGCCATCCACAGCACAGCCAGTGTTATTCAGGCCAACTCATATACCATAGCTGCTTGCATAAGACTGTTAAATCTTAATGTTCTCTCAGAGGAAAGTTGGCCGTCACTGCGCATGAGCAAACAAAGGCACTCTTGATGAATATTCCAGCAGATAGGCTGCAGGGTGTTTGTGTGTGTGTGAGTGCGTGCGTGTGTGTGTGAGTGTGTGTGTCTGCCACTTACCGTCCACTGAGGTCAGTCTGTAGGCTGTGTGTGTGTGTGTTGGCTTAAATAATGCACATCTACTTATCATTCAGGAGTTTAAACCCTAACGTAGGCCATAACGTTGGTATACCTTCCTTCACAGGACAGTGTGTGTGTGTGTGTGTCTGTGTGTGTGTGGATTATAACAGACTTCTAATCTTTCTGTCTGGGTTGTGACTGGAGGACAAGAATGAATGTCTGTTGTTTAATCAATCACACGAACACTGCGGCTTTTTTCCAAATGTCACCCAGACTTAATGGGCTGTTTACTCATTAATCTGCATCCAGAGGGAGTATGCCGGCAAGGAGTGAATTATAAATGAATGTTTGTCCTGCTAATGCAGGAGGACAGCCGGGGAGACGAATAAGAGTAATCTTATATACCATACTCATAACCCAGCTGAACGTTCGGCGCAGGGCAGACGGCTACATTATAGGTTCATTTTCTAACCCCACCATAAATAACAATCAGGCACGATGTTGTTTCATTATCTAATTTACTTTGATTCATGGCCCTGGTAAAATGAGCCTTCATACAAAACCACTATGACTGACTGGTGAAGAAGAAGTCAAATCATCAGGGTCGTCTCATCTCCAGGAAACTTTTAAACAAAGGCCGGAAACACACACACACGGTAAAGTATGACTAGTTGAAGGTTAAGTTATTCATATCAGTAATAAAGGAAAAGCAAAAAGACAAAGCCTTTGGCTTTTTTGCTGTCATTCTCATAAAGGAAGTACATTTACAGTATATACAGTGTATTGTATAAAAATTATAACATTTAATGTTTAAAAGCAGAAATTAAATGTTGTATTTATGCCATTTTGTTATATTTAATAATGTGTTATGGTCATTTTATTAGTGAGTCAGTATAACCACGCCTTACCTTCCACACGTGTGTGATGGAACAGCATCTCATCAGTTCTAAGACATACAGCAGACGTTGCACGTTCTACGCTGCAGAAATGTCGCAGCTTCCCAATTGAAGGGTTTCGTATGAGGTACGTAAGAACCGCCGCGAGAATGTTTGTTTAAACAAGCGAGTTAGCCTTGGTCGTGATCGTCAAGGCGACGTCATCATCGTGCCACGGTCTGTTGTGAGCGATGAAGCCGTGTTTAATGAACCTCGGTTAAACCTGACGGGCAGTAACCCCGGGGTTGCCTTATTAATGTGTCTGTGTGTCTGTTGTTCTGTCCTAGAGAGATAAGATGAACTTGTACCAGGCTGATGTGCAGATATCGTTCAAACTCTGAGCTGCACCGTATTCTCTGAACCAAAGACCAGGCCGTTCCACCAAGAGCCCAAGTCTCCAGACTTCATGCGGGTGTGGACCAACTTTCCTGTGGGTCTGTTTTTTACCAGTTAATTATCAGGTAATTACTATCAAAAACGCTGCATCACGCTGCACCTCCAGAGCCCTATTGACAAATACTTCATCATTCACAGTGGCCGTGGACACCGGTGTAGATCAGGGTGGTCAAACTCAGGGGCATGTTTGGTTAGGGAGGACGTAGCGACTGAGCAGAAATCTTCTTGTAATCTCAATCTTAATCTGCCAAATCAGGAAACACGTCTCAAAAATAGTTTTGACAGAGAAAATCAAGAAGTAGCAAAATATTGCAAAATCAATATTTTCTTATATCCCTAATATATAGATAAGTTAAGATAGTTGAATGAATCACTCTTTGCTCCTACTTTATTCTTTTGCCCCAATTTACCCCAACTGCCCCGAGGCTTCTAAAGTGCAACCTGTGGATCAGAGTGAAATATCTCTGTGAGCAAAGCGAGGACAGAGACACACACACACACACACACACGAGACAGATTTCCGTCATGTTTTATTGGGTACTTTTTCACCACTCACACATTTTCTACTTATTACAAGGTCACATAAAGGATCTCATCTCTGCCAGTAATTACATCTGACATTAGGAAGAGTTTTGTTACCATGGTGATTTGGTCCCCATCTCCATCCACAGAGCCAGAAATAATTTAATAATTTAAGATGAAACAGCAGCTGGTTTTCACATGCAATACAGCAACGTCTCAGACCTGAACTGTCCTTGCTGCAAGTCAAAAGTTCTACGACAAATGAGTAAAAATCTGTTTATTTATGAAAACAACGCGTTTATTTCTCTATCAATATTGACTTCATCTGAGAATTCCAGAGAACTTTTTCACAACAGGTCACAGTTCACTGTGTGAAGAAGGAAAAAATAATTAAGTGGGCCTAGATTATGGCTGGAAGGAGGAAGTAGCAGAATTCCTTATTAAATTTACACATTAATATGAATAAAAATCATTTAAACTCCATTGATACGACACTATAACGCAATAAGTATGTGGTTCCTCGGGGGCTCGAACCAAAGACATTATATATGTAAGTATATTGTCCACATTGAGGATAAAAAAAAACAAAAACTAAAATTTTCTTTAAAGTCATACGGAATATTAGGACTTATCCTGGACGTGAGAACGCAAATGATACGGTCCACAATCACAGGACACACTTGAGGCCACTGTTCACTAACGGTGAAATAAAGATGATGAACCTGAACCTAACGTTCAAATCCAGTTGACCTTGTCCATGTACCTTGAACAGTGGTGCTCCATCAGACGGCGTTCCCTGCTCTGTACAACAACGCCTGCAGTAACTCGTGTATATATATAAATGTGTGCCACCAACACAACTACCAAAGAGGGCTAGAGGAAACGATACAACACAATTTGGTCTTTCTAAAAAGTAGCTGTATTTTGATTTTTTATATTTGGCTGAAGCAAAGTGTTTTAAGAAAAGGGGAGAATGCTAAGGACAGAGTCAAGGGGCAGGAAAGGGAGGGAGGAAGGGAAGGGTGTCTGGGGGAGGGTGTGCGGTGGTCAGGCCGGGGGTGTGTGAGGAGGAAAATGTAGCTGTGCTGATGGCTGTAAGCTCAGGCAGCAGGTGTGTCTAAACCAGCATCAAATATCCATGTTTGTCCTTGAAACTTTCAAAACACTGTAGAAGTTAAGGGAGGATCTTTGACGCCAGGAACCGTTAGCTGTCAGCAAGTTAGCTACTAATGGATGATAAACTGAGACACCACTTACATGGGACAAGTTTGTACCTGTTAATCTAGCATGTAATATGACTGTTAACATTTTTACTAGGGCTGTGTTCAATGTGTTAAATGATGAAAAACTTTTAACGCATAACCAAAAGCTAAAATCTGAGTTTTACTTTTGCCTACTTTTCGTCACATTTGTTCCGTATTAATAATTGCGTCATTTTAATTGCTCACAAATAAAAACAGGTGTGAACCAGACCTGACATCACAGCCTGTTGTTGGAAACCTAACCTCATTAGTTTTTTAAATTCAGGGATTAAAAAAGTTCAACACTATGAACACGGACAAACATCTCACGTTTAAAAAAAACAAACCCAAAAGTACGTGTTTAATGTACTTAAAAATGTGTTCCTTCTCTCTGTGCATCTAAATGTCCCTACTGCACATCGACTGCTCACAGGTTTCCATCAAAAAAAAAAGGGTTTGAGGGGAGTGGGAATGAACTGCGTGACTAAATCACCATGGCAACGAGGACCTCCGGGTGTAGAGCATAAGGGGAATGTGGGAGGGAGGTTCACGCTGAAGTGGTCCAAAGTGGAGGCAATTGCTCTTTGCTTTTTTTTTCTTCCAGAAATTCTCTTTGGCGGCCACCCAGGTTTTCACACACACACACACACACACACACACACATATACAGACAACAGCATTACATCACTGATCATCACAATTATATAACAAAACCGTACTGACAAAGCAGGGCACAATAAATACACACACACACACACACACACACGAGTTAGTGTTCACTGACAGGAAAAAGTAACAAAAACTTTGTAGTCGATCAGAGACAGTGAAGGTAAATATATGCTCAGAACAGAAGAAGTCTTGGTTTCAAGTGTCATGGTAATTATCAACAGCATAAAAAATATAAATAATAACCCTCCGTTTCTACTAGTGCAAGAATCCCACAAAAAGTCACACTCTGCACCGCAGTGGACATTTGAATGCACCGCCACAATTGGGCCTAAATCTTAAAAGGACACACGCTGTACACTGTACTGAAGAGATACGACAGGAGACAATGGTGGACTGTGGAGTTACATGTTCTCAAGGTTAATGTTCAAGGTCAATGATAGTGCGTTGTCTTGCATTCTAATGAAGTCCACTGTACTCCAGTGGGGTTTAAATCACACGGACCGTCATCACACAGTCCTGGAGAGGAAAACAGAAGCCACAGAATGAATCATACTGCAGTTCTGCTTCATGTACGTTATGTACTGCAACTCTGAGGTACTTGGATTTACTGTATGGTCAATATCTGCAAGAGATGAGCTGAAAGATGTGACCAGTGTTATGGGTCCAGGTAGGCTGGGAATCTCTAAGTTACTGTCAGGTTGTAAACTTCCCCCAAATTATATAAATTATATAAAGTACTACTGGATAAATCCATACCCTCCATCACTGAGGCTAAATACGAGGAACAGGCGAAGACTGAGCAACAATTAATGCCAGAACAATATCGACTGCTACTGATATCGTAGTTAATATCACAGAGTCCGAGGAAAGTGTCATTTTTCAGCTGTGGAAGTTCACAGTTAAAAAAGGAAACATTTCTGTACCTTTGGAAGTTGTTGTGACAGGATTACTCCCAGAAGTAGCGCAGATACCATATGGTTTCATTCTTCAGCTGAGGGCCAAACAGTGGGTTGGTCTGGGCCAGAATGGCTATCAACCAACTAGGAGCAAAGATAAAGACAGAGCAGAGAGCTATCAGCAGGGGGCGACCTCAAGTTTATGTCTACATCATGCATTTCTTCTGTCCACTGGTGCACCATATGCTGAAAAAAAAGCCACATTATGGAGCCTGGGTGTGATTTGATGCAGGTCGACTAACAGTTCCAAGAAATGGGACTATTGGAAGGTTCTGGATTCCCAAGCCCTGTGTCAACTGTAGAATTTAAAATGGTTTAACTGAGATGAATATTTAATAGCATTTTTAATCTAATAGCATTTTTTAAATTTATTTATTACATTTATTAAAATGCCAACTTTTGATTTCAAAGTTTGAAAAACCTCTTGAAAACAAAAAACAAACAGCCAAACCACCGTCACAATTTTGGTGGGACAGGAGCTCCCTCTAGTGGCGGTTTTCCATGTACAGTACTTGATCAATGAGGTCGATGATGTTGGGAAACTGCAATGCAACTGTATGTTGTGATATCTTTAGCCAGAATATTGATTAAGTTAATATATTTACTGGCTTTTGTGTCATGACATTTTACACACAAACATTTAGGAATTACACAGCTTCACACGTTAAAACGCTTCCATTATACCACTGAGTCTTCCCACACAATTATTCATATTTAACTTGACATAGAATGTTGACGTCAACAACATGTTTCTTCTAAGCTCTGAACAGAATGTGTGTAAATTGAGTTTATACTTACAACAGATAGCAGCAGACCGCTGTCAGGACCAGACTCGTGACGATGACTCTGTAAAAGAGAAAGTTTTTTTTTTCATTTCTAATATTATGTGCAGTAATGATTATTTTGTATAAATATGATTTAACCGGGTACTGAGACATACACGTCTAAGGCTGAGTTCTAACACTACAGAATTGAACCACTAGACGGCAGTCAAGCAACAGAAATAATGTATACCAGTTGTTAAGCCCAGCTTTGTAGCACTTTAGCCGATGCTAACTCTTTTAAGCAATATAACATGAAATATCAAATGTTTATGTCACGGAGCGCAATATTATCAATTTATACATTAATACCGATTTTGTAATGTTTTCATTGGAGACATACAGCTCCACAGAACAACCATATAATCGTCCAACTGTCAGCTAATGACCTCCGGCTAAAACGCGTCTGTCCTAATGGGCATTTTTATATCAAGTAGGCAAATGCTAGTCTTTTTACAAAAACCTAAATGTCAGTAATTCACGTAGAACACATCTGCAATTAAATGTAAACACAATTCATTGACATTTAACCCTAACTGGTTAGCATTGTGGTGTAAATACAAGGTTTTATTTATTTATTTTTATTTTATGGTAGTGTCATTTGGTTTTGACGCTGATGGCAATAATATACACGTAAAAATAAAGTCATGTGAATTATTTAAATCAAAGAAGAGTTTCAAATGTGAAGAATAAGAATTTAAGAATAAGAAGGTAAGAATTTACCGCCCTGGAGTGTTAAATATTTGTGCAATGTAAGAAGTGTAAACGAGCCTGCTGAAATATTCAGAAGGTCGTATGGTCACATACATTAATTTTGTTTAAAAAAGAAAGTAGAAAACAGAAATAAATACATGTTTAAATGAGTTAACTGAAGCGACACGAACCGGGGATGGACGAATACTGTATATGGACGCATGTATGGATACATTGAAGGACTTGTTCGGGCCTTAATCACACGCTCATATATTATTGACGACGGAATTATTTTAAACACGGTAAACATTGGGTAAATGACACGAAAACACCAAATAATGACAGGTAGTTTAAAACGAGCGAACATTCACGTTAACGGGCAAAGAATATATTGTTATAGGACAGCGTTAGGAACCACCTACCCCCTGTTAGGTCCTTTGGGCACTAAAAACGGAGCGACGACACCCACCAGCCCCCACAGCGTGGTGAAGCAGATCATGGGCAGGGTCAGCGAGTGAGACACCATGGCTGTAGTCCCCAAAAACGTGCACAAATGGAAATAAAACGAAGGTTTTAATAAAAATCACCTCGGTTTCTCCTGCCGTTATCGCTGAGCATCAATGGCTGCTGAGCCAGGTCGTCGCTTCGTGGACACCCGCCCATTTTGGCGCTTCTGTTACACGATTGGTCCAATAATACGGTGAGGGGATTTTGATTGGTGTAGCACGCTGTTTATCAAGATTAGAGGGCCAGTGATTGGCCGGATGTTAGTCGGGGCGTCAGACAGAAGGCAAATGCACCTGCATGACTAAAGCAACGTTTCCATCATCATGAATGATTTAAGAATTATTGTTGGAAATTAACAAACTTCCAGTTTAGCCAATATAATACATTTTTGCCACATAACTGAAATGTTGGAAAAACGGGTCTGTTTCCTTCTCCCGTTCTGCCCCCTGGTTTACGCCTGAACTTTGTCTCATGAAAGCCAAAGGCCGAAAACTTAAACGGCTCCAACGCAAATCAGGACTAACTATTCACAAAGACATTTACAAAAATCACATGCTGCACTACAAGGACTGTATCACCTAAACAAAAATCCAACTACTGCACTGGTTTAATCTGTTCACATGAAGGTAACACCAAATCACTATACTTACTGTATAAGAAGATTGTCCAAGCTCCAGACTCTCTACCATCTCATCTGTAAAAATTGCTGTTATTGTTTGAGTTTGAGTTGTGGTGAAGCTGTGGTCCATCGTTCACATTTACATTCACAGCTGCTATATTTATGACTCTGGGATAAAATTTTAGGAATCAAATTCTCCGTCTTGAACTTGTAGGATTTTGAGTCAGAGATATTTTGAAATATAATTCACTCAGTACAACTGCCTGCTCACCATAGGTGTAGGTGTAAAGAGCCTTGTCTTGAAGGCGGTTTACTCACAATAAGTCCAACACTTTCTCTCTACCAGTAAAAGTACATCTCGACTGGTATTGTTACCACCATTTTAACCATTTTAATTTCTTAAAACCAACACAAAAGTAACACCTTTTTTTTTTTTTTGACGAATGGAAAATTTATTCTCATTTGCTCATTGGAAAGAGGAAGTCAAACATGTGACACCCTAGACATGATTTATTACAACTTTCGCTCATTGCAATTTGTAGCAGATCTTCAGCATCCTTCCTTAATGAAGACACAGTCACATTGGATGTGATTCTACTGAAACCTGAGAAGCAGTGATGACTTTTAAAGACGCAGTGAGAAGACTCTTCCTCCTTCTCGTCTGTGTGCCAGGTACTGCACCGCAACATCCGCAACACAACACTGTGTTTAATGTTATTATGTTTAAGTTATTTTAACATTTAAGTCAAGAAAAATGTTTTGTCTATATATACATATATATATAAATAAAAATAATAAAATTATTATATATAAATTATTTAAATTATTATATATAAATAAAAATATAAACCAGGAGTAAATATTCTAAACGTATTTTCAATTTGATTTTAATAGATTGGTTACAAGAAGGTTCTACAGTAAACAACAAATACAATATAGTGTTCGCAAGATAATAAAATCAGGGTTAGGGTTAGGGTTTCATTGTATGAAAATTGTTGTATGTATGAAGTGCTTCATGTCACAGGTGTAGAGTTTGTGAGAAGATACAGAGTGAAGTTTTGGACAAATAAAGTTTTGGTTTCTGTTCTATGTACAACTGTCCAAAATGCCCCCGTTGGTGGATGTTATGCTTCACTGGAGTCAGTCTCCAGTGAAGCACATCAGCCACTTATAAGTTGTTTTGTTTCTCATATACATGTGCAGTAAACCCTGTCTGCGTGACCTTTTGTGTTCTTGTGACCTCTATCAGGCCAGAACAACATCAAAGAGAAGTACATTTGATAAACATGCGTGATTGTGGTTGGGTAATCTCCTACCACCTACGCCTTTTCTCGGTCAACGGGTGATAACGCCCACCACCACCCCACAGGTCACAAACAAATAAACCAACAACAAATAACTAAACTCACTCATGCGCACTCTTAAGAGTGCACTTTTGTTTTCGGAAGGTTTCAGGTTTGAGTCCACCAGCTGCCCAGTTGCCCACTGAGGTGCCCTGAGCACGGCACACACACTGCTCATTTTGGTGATGGGTTAAATGCAGAAGTCACATTTGGTTGTGTGCCATGGTGTGCTAAAAAAACAAGAGAAAAGCTGTAAAAAAAAGTGTCGAGAACATGTGAACAAACAATGTCAAACAAATGTACGAAACATTGGTGTGAACCATGAGTGAGATATAAAGAGTTTGCAGAAGCCACAATGCATCAGTGTCACCAGAAATGACAGGAAGCACAGAGTGATACGGTGTCACAGTGGGTCAGACCTGACCCTCTGCAGTTTCCTCCTGTGGTAGTTGGTAAGATGCTTCCTGCAGCTAATATTACTACTCTGGAGAGGAACAGGAACGTTGGAATGTTTTTTTTTCTGCTTCTTCTTTTTTGAAAGAAAAAAAAAAAGAAAAGTAAAACTGGGGGATTCCAAACAGTAAACTCAAAATTATAACTGTGGAGGGGTGGAGCAGACACTCATTTGTGCTCTGGGTTTAATCTAATAAATGTATGATCTGGTCTACGGTCTCTTCTCTGTTGATTTCAGGGACAGAGGGGGCAGATGGCTGGACTGTAACCTACCACAATACTACTAGTTGTGCTTTAAAAGGATCAACAGTTGAGATAACCTGCACCTTCCATCACCAACTCGGAATAAATGACCGTGGTGTTACAGCCAAGCACACATTCTGGTTTAGAAAGCAGCAGGACAATCAACGCGTGGATCTGAGGACAAACAGGACGTACATAGGACGTGTGAGGTATCACTGTGACAGTGATCGCTGCTCTCTGAGCATCAATGACCTGAGAGAGAGCGACGCTGCCGTGTACGTGTTCGGATTGATCACCAGCCAAGGCTCTGAAGTGGCCGGTGAACCTGGAGTCACTCTGACTGTCACAGGTACCGACGTCGTTGGACCACTTATTTATGACACAGAACTGAATGACACAGAAGTACCCGAAATTGTCCTGAGTTATTTCTAAAAGTCTGCATTTTCTTTCTCCAGATTTACAGGTGACAAAGAACCAAAACAACAATCACATGTGTCAATCCAGGTGTCCTGTTTCGAATCCTTCCTACATCTGGTACAAGGATGGAGAAAAAATACAGGGAAAACCTGACCAAACCTCTTACAGGACCACCTCATGTGCATTACAAGGATTGGAGAAATTCCCATCACCACCTGAGTGTGAGTTTAGTCCTCAAACAAAAAACTTTTGTTTTATTAAACATCATTTTACTGTGGAAAACCTTACTTGTGATAGAACAATGACTTAAATCAACCATGTCAAGTTTGAAATAAGATACATTTTGGATTTTACACATTGATAATAATAATAATAATAATAATATAATGTGTTTTCCAGGTAACTCAGGAAATTCATGTGCCACAGTGGTTAATGTCGAGAGAAGCATCTGTGCCTTTACAGGCTCCTCTGTGGACATCTCTGGGATTTTCTACAGTGATTATTATTATAAGTTATCTCCTTTATGGTTTGTTGCTGAAAGGGAACAGCAAAAATGGGACATACCAGGCAATGTGTACCAGAGAAAAGCTCGGTTTCAAGGTTTTGCCAGAAACGGACAGTTAAGACTGAGAATTACTAACCTGGCAGAGAGCGATTCAGGAGAGTATCGTTTTGGATATAAAACCTATTCAAGGACATACAGTTTCCCAGGCACAACTCTGACAGTCAAAGGTACTGACCAGCTCCAAGTTATTTGCTTGTTTAAATAACCGATGAATGCTAACCCTGTTACAAGTCAATTAAATCACACCTCCCAATACAAATGTTAGCCGCTCAAGAAATTTGTACATAATTTGCTAATGTTGACTGATATTTTTTTAGATAATCGTCCATCCCTAATTTAAACCATGGCACACAGCTGTTACTGATAGTCTGCAGAGTCAGTCTATACAGTAGGGTCATTTCCTGACTTAAATGTGGGCGCATGTTGCTACGCTACGAACGGATGTTCCATTCATGGCCTGTTTTTATGGCAGGAATTGTAAATGCCAAATGAGTTTCTTGTAATCTCTCTCCACAGACTGACTATAGAGTTCCCAAAGCATGTGGCCCACAGGCTGCTCTTTGAATGGGCCAGATGTAGATTTTAGTAAACGTAAACGTATTCAGGTGAACATTTGTCGACATGTTTATTACCTGTACACAGATCCAGACCTAAAGGTGGAGGTAATCTGGACGTCGACTGGCGGAACACTGGTCTGTCAGAGCAGCTGTCCTTTCTCTGACCGTTACTCTTTCTACTGGTATAAGAATAACAGACCAATCTACAGAGAAACTTCTCCAGTTCTCAAAGGACATGCTTTTTCTGAAGGTCGTTATTCCTGTGGTTTTGAGAGATACCATTCCAGGGAAGTCTGTGAGTTCACGACACTGCATCATCCTCTGTGTGTTTCTTACACAGAAACATCTAATTTGACTTCAGTCATGTTTATGTTCTCCAGATGCTCCGAGAATTCCCACAGTGAGTCGCAATAAAGAGGTAGTAGAGGGCAGTTCAGTGAATCTGACCTGTAGTACTGATGCTAACCCAGCAGCTACTTACACCTGGCACAGAAGCAATCAGTCACTGGTCAGCCCACAGTCACTGTTTCACATGTCGTCAGTGCAGTTGTCCGACTCTGGGGATTATTACTGCACAGCTGAGAATGAGCTTGGAAAGACTAGGTCTCAGATTGTCTCAATTACAGTGACGTGTAAGTAGAAATCTGACATTAAATATAAATAATGAGGTTGATGACCAAAGTGCTCACATGCCGATGTTTCTTCCAGATGGTCCAAAGTTCTCTGTGTTGTCAGTGAGTCCCTCTGGTGAGCTGGTGGAGGGCAGTTCAGTGACTCTGACCTGCAGCACTGATGCTTACCCTGCTCCATCGTATACTTGGTACAAAGACAACCAAGTTCTGCGCCAGGGATCTGTTCACTTTTATAATTTCTCCTCCATCAGCTCTGAGGACAGTGGTGTCTACAAATGTCAGACTGAAAATCACATCCATCGAAAGATTTCTCAGCTGGTGTCTTTGGAAATCAAGAGTAAGTTGAGACCAAACTCAAAGAAGTGGTGTTCAAAGTTGGGGAGTTACCTTCAGCTCGTACTGACCAAGACCCTGACTGTGGAGTGATGCGGTTTGCATCAATCATTCTGTGTATAAGAGTGTGTAAATCAATTTTCACTGAACTTAAAGATCAGAGGAGAAGCTATTGACCACTGCCCAGGTCAGGGAGTAGGAAGCAGTTTAATACAGAGATACTTTCTGTGAGTTGAGACTAAAATGTCACACTTTTATCCTTTTATCGAAGGAAGGAAATTATTACTGTGAAGTTCAGAACAGAGTAGGACGACAGAGGTCGGCCATAACAGTGAAGTCATTCGTAAAAGGCCTGTTTAAAATGAGTAAATGTTCACCAATTAGCTCCTGGGTAAACCGATTAGCCAAATTGGTGGCAGCTAATATTTTACTCATAATGAATAACAATTTAATTCTAGTCCGTAATGAAATGAAAAGCAAAGTGAATACATTGAGATTGCAGTTCCTTTGACCCGGACGTGGGGCGGCATTGTCCTAGTTTTAATCATGTCTTAGATAACATGATTAAAATAGAGTTGTGATTTATACTACATTTTTTGAGTGCATTAATGAAATCAAAAGGTGGTTTAACAATGTAATTGTCACAGTTTGTGTAAAATTATAAAACCATTTCATTTAAGTTTTTTCTTTCCAAATCAGAAGCATGGAAACAGAAAGCAACTGGTATAATAACTGGGATTTTCCTGGCCTTCATTCTGGCTCTCGTCATCCTGTGGATCTGTCGTGTGCGGGCAACGCAGGGAGCAGGCAGGACCCAAATGCAGTACTGGTGAGACTCTTTCTGGTGCAGGAAGTTTTATTTACAAGGTCCAAATTAACAAAACACGAAGAACAGGCAGGCATGGAACTCTCTTCGGAACACGAGGAAACACAGAGTAGGAAACTCACGAAGCTCTAACAGAGAGCTCTAACACAAACATCTAACACGAACACGATCACAATGATCCAACCCTGACAGAGTGAGGGAGAGGGGTGTATATATACACAGGGAACACCAGGTGACACAAGTGAAGTTAATTAACAACAGGTGAGTGTGATCCCACAGATTACCCCACAAAGACAACAAGGAACACGGAAACAGACAGACATGACAGGGTCAGGTGATCAGTCGCTCACTAACTGCACTCTCCATCTGCTTGCATTTGTTCATTCACTCACTTGTTAATGTTCCTGTCCAGGAGAGACAACTTCTCACCGCTGTGTGCTCTCAGTTGCCCACGGCTGAAAAAGAAAGGCAAGCGATCAGTCACAAAGGTGAGAAATAAAACGTTCAGGCAATTTAAACTGTGATTGGTGGGATACGAAAGCTTCTCGCTGTGCGAGGTGTCTTCAGGCAGGGAATGGAAGCAGCCGGTAGATGGTCGATTCGTTTTAAAAGCAATACGTCAAGCAGAACAGGTCCAACAATAAAGCAAATAGCAACCGGAGAAGTATTCAAGGAACATACAACACAAAGTTATATAGAACTTAAAAATACTTCCGATATGTCATTTACGCTTTTTATACTTATTTTGGGGGAGTGGTTTCATCTTCCCGGGCGTGTGTTTGAATGTGGTAGACCAATGGGAGGAAAACGGTTGGACCGTTTGTGGCCAATGATATTATTGCTACTGTTTATGACTGTGCCTACAGTCATCACTAGGTGGTGCTGCTGCTCCACGGTTCAGCGGGGTCAGGGGTTCCCTGTGGGAATGTGAATTGGAAGGTTTCCCCATTGTTCCCAGGGAGTAGAGTAGAGTTATGTGGAGGGTTGGTGTGAAATTCTCTTTGAAAGTGTGTGTGCTCCGGAAAGCCTTTTGGTGTCTTATCAGCTTCTTGCTGCAGACCCAACCAAATGTGAAAACCACTGAAACCTAACAGATATGATCATTTAGGGTGTTAACATCAGTGTGGTTAAAAATAACAAAAACTTTGACATTACTTTTGACAGTACATTGAATTACAAAATGCAGAGTAAATTAGTCTCAGGTCATTGACCTCAACCTGAACACCGGTATTAATTTAGAGCAGCAGGTTTCAATAGGTGAGGCGTGCCTCCCCTTGGGGGGCAAAGGGTCACAGCGGTGGCCTGCATTAAGCTGCATGCATAAAGTGAAATCATTTGCAAAGAATCGTTCATGAATGTCTTTTTTTTTTTTTTTTTTTTAAGAAATGTGAAAATAAATTGTTTTTAAATAAATTCTATTCCTAAGAAGATGCATGTACTGCAGAGGTGTGTGTGGGTTAGGACAGGCAGACAGGATTTCAGGGAAGTCAGGGCTCGGCTGTCCTTACCTACTCTGTACAGTAGGGGAGCCTCACACACACACAATTAGAAAAACCCTGACTTTGGTTTGAGGTTTGTTCATTTTGTTCCACAGCATGGAGCAGATGTTGACCAGAGATCATATGAAGCACAGCGTGAACCTGCAGAGCAGCAGGGTGAACTTTTCTACTCCACCATCTGCTTCTCACACGACCATAACAAAGCCATCTACTCCAATGTTCATTTACAGAAAGAGAAAGAAGATGAGGTTGAGTACAGCTTTGTTCGACTAGATGGGTGAGTCAAATGCATCACTACATTTATTAAAAAAATATATATTAAAGTCTGTTAACAGGAAATCTTCATGTTTCATTCACAGACCAAGTCCACGGCACCAGGAGGACGTATCTGCTCTTTACAGCACAGTAAACTATAGAACCAAGTGAGAACAATGTTCCCCTAAGGAACGAGTTCATATAAAATCGTTACCCCTTGAGGGGTGCGTGAAGGCATTTCATCATTTTGTTAGTTATCCCACTGTAGGGATGTTTCACACAACTGCATTTTCATTTGTTTGATGAGAATAACATATTTAGGAATAAGAGTTTTCATTTAAGTTCAGTGGGTGTCCTATCTACAATAGGTGGCGCTGTAGAAAGAGTTCAGCAACCTCTTCATTAAAACTTCCCCTTTCTTTTTAAGTTACTGCTTACTGTATATGTTGGCCTTTTACCAAAGATCATGTCATCGACTCCTTATAGAACTGAGAAAAAGAAAACATCCAGTGCATGGAATTTAAATCGTCTTCTGTTTGTTTGTACATTTCTCAGTTTAATCAATACTTTCCAATGAACTGATGATCTAAAGTATATAACTGACATGTGCACGCTGCATATTCTTAATAAAATCAAGTAAAAAAATTAAATACATCAGGCCTCTTAAAAGGTTCTCCTTTTCTGTCCAACTGGTCTTCACATCATGGTTTCCTCATCATCTTGTTTCTGCTTAAAGCATTTCTTACGGGAACTGAATCAATTCCTAGAACTGACCGTCCTCACACAGCTGTAGAACATCAGCAGATCGCATGATCGCATCAGTGCGAAACACATCAAGTCTTCACTGTAGTCTATCATGCTACTCCTCTGCTTCTGTTTAAATGTAAATTTAAATTGTTACAAAATGCATATGAGGAACCTAACTAAAACTGACAAGAGTAGGCAATAAGCAGAGTGAGATGGCGGCAGATTATCTGCTGTGGTTACCTTGGAGGGAGAAGAAACAGCAAGTGGCACATGATAATTTATCATTAAAAGAGTTGTTCTAAAACATGCAGAGTCACATCGCCACAGAGTCATACGTCTGATCACCTCTAAAAAAAACTGTCCCCCTGTTTTGAAGCTTCTTCATTAGATTTACTTTACAACAGTGTTTGTGAATGAGGATTATCTTGTTGTCCAAACACTTTCCTCCTTAGTGTGAAGATTGGTGTAAATACTCCTTACTCTGTATATGGGCTCTGTGCAGTACTTCTGCTCCCCCAAGTGTGAGCATCAGCACTTCGGCCAAGATAGCTAAAACAAGGCAATACCTTTTTAACCCATCTCCACAATTAATTACTACCTTTTCTTAATCACATAATTATATTACCTGATTACCTTGTTTTTACAAGTTAAGCGCTAGTTATATCAGTGTTATACTGATATAACTAGCGCTTAACTTGTTTTTAATCAATCTTAAATTTATACAACAATCAATTAAGTTGTTTTTAATCAATCTTATTTTTACATTACAATCGGTGGCGCAGGAAGTTCGTACCCATTCCAAGTGAAGTAGACTAGTAGGGCTGATGTCTTTAGCTTCCTCTGCCACCAGTAACAATAAAGTGTGGCTGCTTAAAAATAAATAAATAAATAAATAAAATAAAAAAACTACGACTACATACCCGGGTGTTTTTGGTCGGGTTGAAATTTAACCTCCGCATCTCCTGCATCCAGTCAGCACCACTTCGTCTACGGTAAATCACTGGGAGCTAACTTCCTTGTAATAGCGCGACGAAACGGTGCATATCGGCACACAGGAATGAAGTGCTGAGACTGTCATGATTTAAACCGGTAATGACCCAAATGCAGGCTCAGACGACGTTAAGTGAAAAAACAAGGATTTATTTTCTAATTCCACTTCAATAGGAATCACGAGGAACAATTGTTCAGGTCAATCTGGACGTTAGCTATCACGGTGGCTGAACAAACGATCTGACGACCAGTGGGAGAAAGGCCAGGGTTTTTATGCCGTCAGAGTGATGGGTTGATTGAAGGCAGGTGCTGAGGAACGGCAGGGGTGCTTCGGTGATTATCCAGGCAGAGTCAGGGAAATGTGCCACGCCCACTACACGGACAGAAAAGTGCACAACACAAGAATGGGGGAAAACACAGGGAAACACAGGGAACGACAGTCACGACTGTCATCGTGACAGAGACTGTAACCTTTGAATTCTAAAACCAATCATTGTTAAAATGCTGTTAAACTAAAACGCAACACTCAAACACGCTATCTCCCGCTGGAGCTGTGAAGTCGCCGGAAGCTTTGACCGGAAGTCCGAACGACATCAGACGCCATATTATGCAGATAGCTAAACTGTACTGTATGATATCGTACTAATGTGGATTATAATGATTTGGTTCCAAAAGGCCAAAATAACATTGGTTATAAAGTCTGTGCGCTGACTACAACACAGTTGAACGTTGACTGACAACATAAATCAGCAATAAATGGTCAAATTAAAACAACTATATAAAATGGTGAAATCTTGAAATGTACACTGCGAGGACAGCACAACCCGACTGCTAATACCGCCACGGGGTCCACGACCATAGTACACAGGGGTGTTGCATTTAATGTCCATGAAGTAAAATACCAGATTTCCGTGTTATGTGAAAAGTTCTTTAATATGTCAAGCATAATCACATATTTGACCTCTTTTGATGAGTCAAACCTCTGGACATTGCGCTAAAATCTTTAAGAGAAATGCCAGTCAATTAAAAAAAAAACATTTTTCACCACAGAGTTTTGATGAGAGATGACCAGGAAGACAATATACAGTACAGGTATAAGTTACTAAGTTACTTGTAGTCCGTAAACCTAAATATTTTCTCTTGAGGTAGTTTATTATACTTTTAAAAAATGCATATGTATGAGGAAGAAAAGAAGGCACAATCGAATACCGACCAACAAATTTGCCATGGAAACTGTGATCAAATTAATATTTCATCAAACAAAATGTCTTCAAATACAAATATAACCACGACATGCAAACAAACACACACACAAACTGGTGTAAGACCAGAGGAGTGGTTTCTCACAGTTTCCTAAGCAAGTCTGTCCAAACCGCAAGTCACTTCTTTGTCAGCCTATTCACATCCGTCATTGATAATCTGGAAAGAGGAAGGAAATGGATTGTATTAAGATCTCAACTTCTAACTTTTCTCTCAGTCTCTATTTGTTTATCAGGTGATCTACAGAGTGTGGACTTGTGGAATTAGTTTTTCCTGCAGAAAGTCTTGGTGGGAGGGGGAGGGGGGGGTTTGATGTCCACTAAAGATGACAGCAGTTAATTTTATTGTTCTTCTTCTTCTTCTGACAGTGCCAGGTAATGTATTTGACGTCAGATATTTTATGTCTTCCCTTCAGTTCCATTGTCATCCTTCTTCTTGTCCTCCTGTGTCTCTGCTACAGGTCTACCTGTAAATGTTGGAGTTTTGTATTTGGGTCATCCATATATTTAGTTCTGACAGTTACTTATGTCTTTCAATCCATATTTAGGTTAATGTAAAACAAGTAAAAGAAAAGAGACAGGTCTGTAACGTCTTTCAGACACATTGTCTTTACTTCTTCGACTTAAAAAATCATCAATGTGCGTTCACTCAAAACAATGTTCTAACTTTTGTTTTCAGAAATGATTGTGAATTATTTCTATCACTTTCAAGATGACAAAATCTCTGAATATATAAAAATCCTATATATAAAAAATAATATATAAATATATATATATATATATATATATATAAGAGTTAAATTGCAATTTCTAAACATTAAAGCCTTTTATTCTAATGATATCTACGGCTTGACCTCACAGTTGTGTAACAAGTCATATATTTCTGTTGTTGGTTATTTGATTCACTGTTTGTTCCTGTGTTACAGTGACACAGAGTCAGAGAGGATATTCTGTGACCTACACTTCTACTGAGGTCTGTGTCCTCAGAGGATCAACAGTGGACATAACCTCCAGTTACAGTTACCCAGGCTCAGTGAAT